AAACCCACACAAGCACAGGGAGAACATGCAAACTCCCCCACAGATAGCACCCCGGGTCTGGAATTGAACCCTGGGGCCCCGGCGTTATGAGGCAGCAATGCTAAGAGATGCGCCAGTGTGCTGCTCCAAAGCTAAAGCGACATTATCAAAACTGCAAGATCAGCTCCGTTAGCGATCCAGGGCCACGAACGGTCTGAGCGCATCGCTGCGTGCTCTCTTGAAATCTGTCTGGAAACTGGGTCGGGCATAGTGACACTTATTGGTCATTATGAAATACAGCTGAGCTTGTTTCCAGCATCAGTGGATCAGTCTAGCTGTATGCAATACATGATCTATTGCAAAGCTGGAATAAAAATCTCACTTTGACAGTGTGTTGTCAGGCAGGAGACCCATGTAATAATGCACTTGTTTGATGATAATCGATTCCGATCATCCAACCTTAGTCAAAGACAATCCTTTAAACAGAAACTGTCTTTCTGCTACACATAAGGAAATTGGGAAAAAAAAAAACAGGAGATAATATAAAACCAGAGAGAGAGCAATGGATTACTTGTACATGTTCAACACTGTTTTTTCCTTCATCACTCAAGTTCAGCAATACTGATGTCAAACGCTATACACCAGGAGAGGCCAAACATCAACTCTTCAGAGCCTCAATCCAACAGACTTTATCAGTCACCCTTAAAGCACCAACTTGCAAAGACGTGGAATGCGTGTTTCCAGCAGATAAGCAAGTGAATTGGTTCCACTCAAAGCAGGAAGAGCCGGCGATCCCGACAGCTACAGGGCGCCGGGATTTGCTTTTCAAGTGAACAAGTGAAACGTCTCCAGAGGCTGAAACACAGACCCCCAGACAGGGCCTGGCCAAACTCCTGCTATATACTTGAACCACAGCAGTGTGGCTCAGTGCAGCAATCTGCAACATGACAACACATTTCCAAAACTCTGCAGCTAGACTACTAACTCACACCAGACTTTAAGTCTCTACTCTGTTTGCGTATGAAGTCACACATTCAATACAAGATCCGGTTGTGACTTTCAAGGCCCTGAACAATCTGGCTCCATCGTACATCTCTGAGCTCCTCCATGTTTACACTCCCTCTCATAGGCTCCAGTCAGCTGAGGCTGGGTCTGCTGCACCCAGGACTAAATCTCGGACTTTTGGGGACTGTGCCTTTCCTGGTGCTGCTCCAGTGCTATGGAATGCCCTTCCTCAGACTCTATGGGAGATAAATTCTTTGATTCGCTCTGAATTGAAACTCAAAACTCAACCTTTTTATCACAGCATATGTCTGAGTGCCCTACATTCTATCACTATTAACCTGACTTTATTTTTTTACTGCCCCCACCCTACAAAGCTCACAGCGCTGCAGTGTTTGTGCTGCCTCTGCGTTTGTGCTTGGTGTTGTGCCGCAGGACGTTTTCTCCTCACCGGCTGAACCCCTCCTTCCCGAAGTCCAGCCCCGCCGGCACCAGCTTGACGTTCCTCTTCTTCAGGGCGTAGTCCACCACCCACTCGTTCTCTTCCACCTGCAAGCAGGCCACAGTGTCACAGTGCCGCTCCCCCGGCTGCAGTTCCCCCGCTCGGCCTGCCCAGTGCGAGGGGGGCGCTGTTTCCCCACCGGGGGCCCCGGCGGCGGCGGAGTGCTCAGGTCGCCGAGCGCAGCGCCACGCAGAGCCCGCACGCACCGAGGCAGGGAGGGGGGTAGGCACAGGCAGGGGCGACGGAGAGGGAAGAGGGTTTTTACAGGCGGAGGAGAGAGCGAGCGAGCGAACGAGCGAGCGACGCACCATGATGGAGCAGGTGCAGTAGACCAGGTAGCCCCCGCTTTCCGAATCGGCGTCCACCGAGTCGATGGCCGACAGCAGGAGCTCCTTCTGCAGGTGAGCGTGACGCAGGACATCAGCCTGATCCTGAGGGAGAAGGAGGGGGGGGTTGTGAAAAAGGTAAAACGGAAAACCTGGACCGGCACCACAGGGCATCAGGGCATGTGAACTGCACTGAGAGGGGAAGAGGGGGCTGGGGGCATGTTGCTTTAAAATGTGTGTGTGTGTGGGGGGGGATTACAGGTGTGCAGGTTGCTGTGGACACTGACAAAATGCACCAGAGGGGGGTTAAGATCCCTGCTGTCCACCAGGGGGAGGGTGGGCAGGGCGCAAAATCTTCAGCGCCTGCTGGTGAACTGCTGTGCACTGCTGCTGCAAGGACAGTATATTCCCACTCAGAAGTATCAGATTCCACGGCTTGAAAGCGAGGGCCACAGTGGGAGTGCCCGAAGAGGGCAAAGAAATCGACAGAGATGCTGCAACTTTAACCGAAGTCGCTAGAGAAGAGGTTTCAGCGTGGTCATTACTTTGCTGGTCTTGACGGACGGGTCTTTGGCGATAACTCCGGTACCAGTGCACGGGGCGTCCAGGAGGACTCTGTCAAAGCCGCCCATCACCTGCCAAGCAAACCAATCACAGACAACCGATCAGAGACCCGGACCACCGTGCGCCAGCCACCCCCCACGCAAGCCGCCAGAGAAGAGCCGGCGCATCACCCGCCACGCAGGCACAAACGCGGAAAACAAGGCGCACAGCGATGCAAACACACCGACTCCTCTACGACGACTGCCCCGCCCGCGCGCTGACGTTGATACGCCCCGGCTCAAACACGCACCCACTCATGGGTCCCATGGGACCGCGATCCGGCGTTCCGACACACGCTGGCCAACCCGCGTGCTGGCACCGACAGACGCACACATACACACACACACAAACACACACTGACCTTGGGGAAACTCCTGCCGTCGTAGTTGCAGACCACGGTGTTGCTGACGCCCAGCCTGTGCAGGTTACCCACCACACTCTTCAGTCTCTCTGCGCTGACGTCGTTGGCCACTATCACCCCCGTGTTCTTCATCAGCTGAGCTGAGGGAATCGGTGCACAGTCATGAACATGGACAGATCATAAAGACCTCGGTACACACTCCTACCACAGCGTGAGCTCCAGTAATGACCCTCCAGATACTCCTCACACAGAAACATCAATACTGTCCCTAACTCAGAGTTTAAGCACCAGATTAGTATGGATCCCTATCATACACCCAGAAGACATATCTCAGACATATTAATACAGACCTTAACCTTAGAGAGTCTCCCAACACACATTAATACAGACCCTAAAACAGAGCTGAGAGATTAATACAGATGCTTACAAAGAGCCTAGGGACACCTTACAGATTAAGACACATATTATAAATCCTGGGGACACATCTAATACACATTAATGCAGATCTTCATAAAATCTTCAAGACACTCCTCACACACACATTAATATAGACCCTAGAGACACTCCTCACCCACAGAGATTAATACAGACCCTAATATAGACCCTAGAGACACACCTCACCCACAGAGATTAATACAGACCCTAATATAGACCCTAGAGACACACCTCACCCACAGAAATTAATACAGACCCTAATATAGACCCTAGAGAAACTCCTCACCCACAGAGATTAATACAGACTCTAATATAGACCCTAGAGATATACCTCACTCACAAAGATTAATACTGTATCTAAAAGAGACTTCCAAGACATAAATATTAACTTAGACCCGAGGGCAGGGACCTTCACTTCAGTAAATGAAAATCAAGTAATTAATGCGCAGGAAGGACCTAAGTCTTGCCATGACCTGGCCTGCCACAAACAGACAGTTGCACTGTGCGGTCAGTTTTACTTACCCATGTAAGTCGTCTTGCCACCCGGGGCAGCGCTCATGTCCAGCACTTTCTCCCCCTCTTGGGGGGCGAGAGCCATTACAGGCAGGAGGCTGGAGGCGCCCTGGAGGATGTAGTGACCGGCCAGGTACTCCGGAGTGGCGCCTGGAAGGAAAGAGAGGTAGAGGTCCGTGCACTGTGCGCACACACTGACTGCCTGGATGGCGAGACAGCACCGACTCTCCCTTCGCTTTTGTCACACACTGATGGGGAAGCCTCCTGTCAGCGCCAGAAAGGAGAACCTTTTTCCCCCGACTGACTGATCTGGTTAAAAAAGCAGTTAACCGCAATTCCTGACCTGGTGGGAAACGATCAGAAAAACTAAACCAGGACGAGCAACCACTACAGAGCCCGGCGGAGGAAATTTAAGATGGTGTCTCATGTGGGGAAGAGCAGGGTGTCACACGCAGGGAGCAACGAACAGCACAGGGGAAAACAGCGAGCCAGCGACGACCATGGCTCACGCAGCGCAGACTCACCGATGGGGACAGAGGAGTCGAAGATAACCAGCCCCACCTTAGACCACTTGCCCAGGGGATCGAGATTCACCCCACGGTTGATCAGAGCCTGAAAGAGGGAGGGGAGGAAAGGAGGTCACACCGAGCGGACGTTCACAGATCCAAAGGGAGGGGAGGGCTTGAAAACGGAGCTGGCCAGCAGCAGCTCTCCATGCGATCTCCAAGAGGAGGCCGCGATCCTCGCAGGCTGATGATTACAGTCCGCTGGGGGGCTGCGGGAGGCTGGGGAGGTCTTACCTGGGCCAGGTCCCGCCTCCGCGTCTTCAGGGTGTTGGTCCGAATGGTGACCGGCCGCTGAATCTCATTGGCTTCCAAGAAATCGATCAGCTGGAGCAGGGGAGACACACAACGTGGGAATGGCGCAGACGAGATATCTATCACCAACGGTGCTGACACAGGGCCTCCAGTATAGTAGACGACCCCTCCCACCCCTCCCATAAACTCTTTGCCTTCCTACCATCTGGGAAAAGAGATCCCAGTGTGCGGGCTAGCTCCACCAGACTCTGGAACAGCTGCTTCCTGCAGGCTCCTCAACACCCTGGAATCTACTTGCACCCACTCTAATTCCAGAAACAGGGCTTAAATCCCCCCAGTGTGTTGTGTATATTGTATTATGCATTTACCTTGTAATTCGCACTATGTGGATCCTGTCTACAATATCTATGTCAGTGTCCTGTCTGTATTTGCACCGTGGACCAGGAGGAACGATATTTCGTTCCACTGTATACTTGTATACGGCTGGAATGACAAATAAACGTGAACTTGAACAGAGCATGCGCCTTGTCAGCCATCTTGGCTCTGATCTTTCAACCATTTACATGTGACTTTGAGATGTTCCCTAGAGCCGAAATGGAGCCCGTTTCGCGAACGGCGGACAGCGCCGTGACACCTCGGCAGGCAGCGCAAGGGTCTGCCTCGTGCGATGAGGCTCGTACTTCCCGTCTGCTTACTCATTCGCCAGCCCCCAATTCCACAGGCAGGATGGGGGTCTGGTAGGCGGAAGGCCAGCGGCTGGTTGAACCCAAGCTGAAAAAAACGGGCCCCCTCAGCTCAGCAGATCCCCTAGCCAGACCCTTCAATTCCCCATGGGCACTGACCTCCGCAGGGGGGAAGAGGTCCATGATCTGCTCGATGAGGTAGGTGTTGTAGCTGTAGTACATGGCCAGGTCCTGCTTGAGGAGGGCCAAGTACTCCCCCCTCTCCCTCCCCTCCTCCCGCTTGGCGCTGAAGTGTCCCAGGACGTCGACGTTGTCCTTAATCCGCTGGTGGATGGACTGCAGGTCCAGGGGCAGCAGGCCTGAGTGGGAGAGCACGGAGAAAAGGGACAGGGGGTGAGGGTTAACCAGCAGTTAAGGATGAGCGAATTAAAAAAAAAAAAATCATACAGCTATTTCAAATCCAAAGTCAGCTGGGCAATTCCCGACAGCCAAACGGAGACTGTTGCTAGGGGAATGGAGAAAAATGATCTGAAATCCGGCTTTCTCCCCCCCCCAAAGGAAGCAGGCGCACCCTCTCTCGCTCTCTCCTCTGAAGTGGGCAGCTGGAACTTCTCCATCTCGTCGGCAGCCGCAAGTGGGGCGTCACCCTCGCTCCCCGTCTCCTCCTCCTCATCCTCCTCTTCCTCGCTGTCCTCCTCCAGCTCCCTCTCCAACTTCTTCTGCTTCTTTGCCGCTCTCTCGATCGGCAGCAACTGGGGGGGCACAGCAGGAAGAGAGACAATGTCTTATTATAAAATAAGACATCAGTGCCTGCAAACCAAAGAAGTAAACTCTTCACCTCCACTGTTAACTTCTAACCAATCTTAAAGGGAGAACACCAGGCAGGCTTATACCTCCTCCCCGTCGCTGCCTTCTTCCTCTCCCTCATCGCTGTCCTCCGCCACTCCGTAGTCGTCTACCATCTCATCGTCATCGGTCTCAGCTTCCTCCTCCCCTCCCGCGCCCACGTCCTCCTCCCGGGCTTCTCCCTCGCTCCCTTCCTGCACCTCCTCTTCCTCAGCCTCCGAATCGCACTCGCTGTCGGACTGAGCCACGGGACGCTTCCGCTTCGCTGGCTTCAACCACTCGCTGTTCTCATCGCTGAAGCCTGAG